TGTCCGACCCGAGCTGCTCCCAGGTCCAGAGCATCCTGTGTGACGACGTGCCTCCCTCTCCGCGCTGCCTCGTGCTCCTGCGCCGGAGCTTCCCCGAGCCGGGCACCTACTGCGTGAACATCACCCTGGAGGACAGCAGGAGCATGGGCCTGGCCAGCACCACCGTCACCATCAACAAGGCCCAGGAGCCTCCAGGTCAGACTCACGCACCAGCAGATCTTTGACTCCACAGTTTGAAAAAAAAAAAAAAAAGAGAAACATAGACTGTGTACTGATGCTAACTGTAGGCTCTGCTCTGTCTGAGTGAGACTTTACTCTGAGCTTCATTTTAACACAATCTGACCAGAAAAAACTGCTTTAGTTTCAACAACAACAGGTGCTGTAAATTTGTCCTGTTAAAGAATCTCTCACACATAAGGTGACCCGAATTTCAAAATAAAAAACGTTTTTTGGTGGTCGGTAATAAAATAGTGAAAAGAGTGCATAATTAAGGAAATTATTACGCAGACATCACTCATGACTAGTCACATTTTATTTGTGTTTTGGTCATTTTTAAGCTGATTTTAACAAAACAAATTACAATGTAAGCCTCTCTTTACTATGGAAGCCCATTTCCATTAAAAGTCATTATGACTTTTACACTTGTAATTATGACTTTTAAACTCATAATTATAATTTTAAAACTCGTAATTATGAGTTTAAAACAAGTAATTCCACTCATAATTACTGCTCATAATAAAACTCATAATTATGAATTTTAAACTTGTAATTATTATGACTTTAAACTCATTATTATAACTTTAAAACTCATAATTATGAATTTAAAACAAGTAATTCCACTCGTAATTATTACTCATAATAAAATTCATAATTATGATTTTAAAACTCATAATTAGGACTTTTAAAACTTATAATTAGGACTTTAAAACTTGTAATTATGAGTTTAAAACAAGTAATTCCGCTCATAATTATTACTAATAATAAAACTCATAATTATGACTTTAAAAAACTCATAATTATGACTTTCTGTGGCGCTTTTATATTTTATTTACTGGCAGAAATGGGACATTATTTTTCAAACGTTCCTCTTTTCCAACATGAATAATAATGTGACGGCTTGTTATACTTTGTGCTCCCATATATCATAAGACGCTTGGGCCGGTTTGGTCGATCTGCGGAGAATATAAGGTGGCTAAGCGAGCATGGAGGGAGAACATGCACTGCACATATAACGAACTCGGCTTCTGAGAGTTGCGATAGTTTACGCGCTTGGGCAAACCATCGTAACTCTCAAAAAAATAAAAATAGGAACAGTGAAACTAAAAAGTGTCGGAAAAACAGCAACAACATCTACACGGCTTGGCAAAACCAGTAACTGTCTTCCTTGTGTGTGTGCGTGTGCGTGTACAGCTCCACAGCGCCCCCACACTGCAGAGGTGGTCATCTCCTCCAGCGCCGTCCTCACCGCGCTCTTTGCTTTTGTGGCTTTCATGGTTTACAGGTGAGTTTATCTGACCCTCCACACACACACACACACGCGCACTTATATTGATATATCATATGATTTAATGTGATGATACAGTATCGATATCGTGGGCTGCTGTATCGATATATCACCCAGAGTAGTTTTTGGTTTGTTTTACTAAATTATTATGATACAGCGCTACATTTTTGTTGTTTTGATTCTCTCAGAGTTTCAGGAGAGTCCGACTTTGTGTGTGATTTAGTTTTTTTCAATAACTAGATTTACAAATGATGAAATGTTGATATATTTTAAAATATTTAGAATAGTTTATTTATTTTGTAGTCACAAATATAAAACATGTAACTTTTTGTCACAAAGATATTTTACAGAACATTATTCAGCATTATTCATTCACTCTACACCTGCTGATGTAAACTACTGTTGTAGCCACAGCTGCCCTGGGGCAGACTGACAGAAGCGCGGCTGCCATGTCAATCGGCGCCATCGGTCCCTCCGAACACCACCATCACTCACACACACACCGCTTTCATACGAGGCAATGTGTGTGAAGTGTCTTGCCTAAGGACACAATGATTGAATTGATTGTGTTTAAGTGTCTTTGACTCTCAACTGGTCATGGACCTGGAGCAGGTTTTGTGTTGATGGAGGAAACCGGAGGAAACTCATCCAGACACGAAGAGAAACACAAACTCCACACAGAAAAACCCGGGTCACCCGGGGATCCAACCCACAACCTTCTTGCTGTGAGGCATGAGTGCTAAACAAAAATAGAGTAAATAGAGACATGTCATAATACCGGATGGATGATGTAATACCGGCAGGTCTAAACCAGGACTAAACCAGGACTAAACAAGGTCTAACCCAGGTCTAAACCAGGTTTAAACCAGGTCTGAAAACCCAATCTAAACCTGATCTCACCCAGGTCTAACCCAGGTCTAAACCAGGTTTAAACCAGGTCTGAAACCCGATCTAAACCTGATCTGTAGCTTCTGGTTCTTAACCGAGGACTTTTCGATCATTTGCACAGATCTTTGTTCTGATTGTTTAAGTTTAGAACCTCTTGATCAGTTCCTGGACACAATTTATGGAATTTTGGATCCACTCGTCTTGTTGCTGGTTCTGATTTTCTAAGTTTTGGATCGTCTCGTTTTGTTGCTGGTTCTGATTGTTTAAGGTTTGGATCCTCTGGTGCAGTTCGAGGCTATAATCTATTAAGGTGCTGATTATTTCGCTTTGTTGCTGGTTCAGATTTTCAAAGTATTGGATCGTCTCGTTTTGTTGCTGGTTCAGATTTTCTAAGTTTTGGATCGTCTCGTTTTGTTGCTGGTTCTGATTTTCTAAGTTTTGGATCCTCTCGTGCTGTTGATGGTTCTTCTTTTGTAAGTTTTGGATCGTCTCGTGCCTTTGCCTGTTCTGATTTTCTAAGTTTCGGTTCCTCTCGTTTTGTTGTTGGTTCTGATTTTCTAAGTTTCGGTTCCTCTCGTTTTGTTGCTGGTTCTGATTTTCTAAGTTTCGGTTCCTCTCGTTTTGTTGCTGGTTCTGATTTTCTAAGTTTTGGATCGTCTCGTTTTGTTGCTGGTTCTGATTTTTAAGTTTTGGATCCTCTGGTGCAGTTCGAGGCTATAATCTATTAAGGTGCTGATTATTTCACTTTGTTGCTGGTTCTGATTTTCTAAGTTTGGATCGTCTCGTTTTGTTGCTGGTTCAGATTTTCTAAGTTTTGGATCGTCTCGTTTTGTTGCTGGTTCTGATTTTCTAAGTTTTGGATCGTCTCGTTTTGTTGCTGGTTCTGATTTTCTAAGTTTTGGATCGTCTCGTTTTGTTGCTGGTTCTGATTTTCTAAGTTTTGGATCGTCTCGTTTTGTTGCTGGTTCTGATTTTCTAAGTTTCGGTTCCTCTCGTTTTGTTGCTGGTTCTGATTTTCTAAGTTTTGGATCGTCTCGTTTTGTTCCTGGTTCTTCTTTTGTAAGTTTTGGATCCTCTCGCGCCGTTCCCTGTTCAGATTTATTGCGAATTGGATCCTCTCCTGCCGTTGCTGGTTCTGATTTTCTAACTTTTGGATCGTCTCGTGTTGTTGCTGCTTCTGATTTCGTAAGTTTCGGTTAATCTCATTTTGTTTCTGGTTCTGATTTTCTAAGTTTTGGATCCTCTCGTTTTGTTGCTGGTTCTGATTTTCTAAGTTTTGGATCCTCTTGTTTTGTTGCTGGTTCTGATTTTCTAAGTTTCGGTTCCTCTCGTTTTGTTGCTGGTTCTGATTTTCTAAGTTTTGGATCCTCTCGTTTTGTTGCTGGTTCTGATTTTCTAAGTTTTGGTTCCTCTCGTTTTGTTGCTGGTTCTGATTTTCTAAGTTTTGGATCCTCTCGTTTTGTTGCTGGTTCTGATTTTCTAAGTTTCGGTTCCTCTCGTTTTGTTGCTGGTTCTGATTTTCCAAGTTTTGGATCCTCTCGTTTTGTTGCTGGTTCTGATTTTCTAAGTTTCGGTTCCTCTCGTTTGTTGCTGGTTCTGATTTTCTAAGTTTTGGATCCTCTCGTTTTGTTGCTGGTTCTGATTTTCTAAGTTTTGGATCGTCTCGTTTTGGTTCCTCTCGTTTTGTTGCTGGTTCTGATTTTCTAAGTTTTGGATCGTCTCGTTTTGTTGCTGGTTCTGATTTTTCTAAGTTTTGGATCGTCTCGTTTTGTTGCTGGTTCTGATTTTCTAAGTTTTGGATCCTCTCGTTTTGTTGCTGGTTCTGATTTTCTAAGTTTTGGTTCCTCTCGTTTTGTTGCTGGTTCTGATTTTCTAAGTTTTGGAATCCTCTCGTTTTGTTGCTGGTTCTGATTTTCTAAGTTTTGGTTCCTCTCGTTTTGTTGCTGGTTCTGATTTTCCAAGTTTTGGATCCTCTCGTTTTGTTGCTGGTTCTGATTTTCTAAGTTTCGGTTCCTCTCGTTTTGTTGCTGGTTCTGATTTTCTAAGTTTTGGATTCCTCTCGTTTTGTTGCTGGTTCTGATTTTCTAAGTTTTGGATCGTCTCGTTTTGGTTCCTCTCGTTTTGTTGCTGGTTCTGATTTTCTAAGTTTTGGATCGTCTCGTTTTGGTTCCTCTCGTTTTGTTGCTGGTTCTGATTTTCTAAGTTTTGGATCCTCTCGTTTTGTTGCTGGTTCTGATTTTCTAAGTTTTGGATCTCTCGTTTTGTTGCTGGTTCTGATTTTCTAAGTTTTGGATCGTCTCGTTTTGTTCCTGGTTCTTCTTTTGTAAGTTTTGGATCCTCTTGTTTTGTCGCTCCTTCTGACATATGTAGTTCTGGACCATCTCAATCAGTTCCCGGTTATAATTTAATAACTTTTTGTTCTTCTCTTTTAGTTCCCGGTTCTCAGCCTCTAAGATTTGGCGCTTGACCTTAGGTCGGGATTTTCTAAAAAAACACCAGGGCATTTTTTCTGTTTAAATATGTAGTAAAGAGAGAAAAGCTCTAGTGTAAACGTGTAGTAGTAGCTCTAGTAGCAGTACACGCAGTAGTCGTAGTACACGCAGTAGTCGTAGTACACGCAGTAGTCGTAGTACACGCAGAAGTGGCAGTATTCTGTGTCTGTAGTGTTTGTTTCGTGTTACACTTATAATCTTCTTCAAAACAGTAAGTTGCTTTGAGCTTTGTGCTTGTTCTTTACTGATGATGTCATAAAGCAGAGCGCTGCTTTGAAGTAGCAGTAGTAAAAGTATTAGTAAAAGTATTCTGTCACTTTAGTGTTTATTTCACTGTGTCACTCAAAGTTTACTTTAAAGCAGCGTCGTGCTTCTCTGATGATGTCATAAAGCAGAGTTCTATCACCATGGAGATCCAGGGCGGCATTAGAACATCACGTTGCTACGGCGACAGCTTCTCAGGCTCCAAAACTATTTTAGATTCCAGAATATGATGATGGTGTAACGCGGGTGACAAAACCGCCTTAGCAACAAACTCTCTTGCCTCGCTCCTGCTCTCTGTTTTCAAAGTATGTAGCTACATTCATTCATTACATTCAATCAAATAAACACCAAAACGGGTGTAAAATACATAAATCAGGGTGTCCTTTAAGGGTTTAAGGTTTGGCCATAAATTCGGCAACAATAGAAATTAAAGTTTGGTTCGTATTTAATCAATACGAGAGTAAATAAGTGACTCGCGGCACCCGCTAGTTTAGCCGCTACTAGCGTTAGCATTAGCATTAACAGCGACCAAACATCGCTACAGGACGATCACAGACACTTCGAACGAGCGAGTTTGAACAATAAGACTCACCGCTGAGCGGAGGGTTGAATACGCTGAAGTAGAAGTAGAAATAGTCGTAGTAGAGGATTCAGATCTGGAGCAGCACAGCCACAGTGAGCGGAAGCAGGAGCATCAGAGCAGGAAGTGGTGAGAGGCATTCTGGGTAATATGCCGTTTCGGGCTTATTGGTGGGCGTGGTCACAGGGACTGGGCGTGGTCACAGGGACTGGGCGTGGTCACAGGGGTGGGCACTTCATATACACTATTCATATACACCACCAGTCAAATGTTTGGACACACTTTTTCATTCATGGTTCTTTTTTCCATAGATTCTCTCTGAAGTCCTTAAAACTATGAATGAAAACACATATGTACGAAACAAAAATCAACTCTGAAAAACTCAACACTCGCCTTTACCCTTTGCTTTCATCACTGCTTTGCACTTTTGTCATTTCTTGACCTTGAGGCACATCTGTGCAGTGTTGGGAGGTGACTTTTAAAATGTAA